TAGTTCCCCCTCACTCTACACTTGAAATGCGAGGAAAGTGAACAAGTGTAGACAACCTCAGTTTAGGGAAACCTTCAGTTCGAGGCCCTTTTAGCTAAGAATACAGTCATTTAGATGCCCAGGATTATAATTGAAACTTTTATTCCTTAAAGCAGCTGATTTCACTATTAAATGTTATTATTTTATGAACAATCTTTACAATAGGTTTAATTTTTTGGCCCAGTATGTAGTCCTTGACCATGTTTTTAGTTATTTTGGATCTTGTATAAGTCTGCTCCTAAAATTCCTCCCATTAGTGTTATGGAAGTATTAGCAGGATCAAATGTAATGGTGTCTCTGAGACTAGAAGGAGGGCTGGAGGACCAACTATTAACCCCTTTGTTTCAATAATAAACAAAAATAAGTAAATGATAGAAACATTTATTATACCAACTGTTTAACTTCCTTTACAGAATAATTCTTAGTGCATTAGAATGATCAGTTGCTAATGACAAAAAAGGAACAAAACAAAGCCAAATATATATAAAATCTTAAGTTAAAATAGACATCATTGATTAGAAATCTAGAGGCAAGATATAGCCCCAGATATTGGATAAATCAGAGTCTTAAAGTCTCAACTGATTTAACAGTGTTTGTAACAATACTTTCTCTCTCTCTGTCTTCATTCCCCTCTCTCTTTTCTCCTTCCCTCCTTCCTTCTCTCCTGTCTGCCTTCTGATTTACTGTCTTCATATTTGGGCCATAGGTGGAGTCGCTGTGAATTCAAAGCCATTTCTCTAGTGTTGAAATCTTTTGGGAAAAGAGATTATGCCTTTGCCAAAATTCTCATTCTACCTTGTTGGCTCTGATTTGGACACATTCCCACACTTGAGCCAATCATTGTAGTACACAGGAACTTGGTACTCATAGGCTAAGGTTGTAACTGAAGCTTGAACTTGTCTATCTCTTCTCCCTCCCCACCTCCCCACCATGCACAATGCCTAAGAATGGGGTATAGGGTGTTTCCCCAGAAGAGATTTGGGGAAATGAGGAATAGGTGCTGATTAGCAAAAGAAACCAAAAATCTATATTTAACATTCTTTTTGCCTTTAAATCTGTCAGAACTCAGTTAAAAATAATTTGTGCCTAAAAGGACATTCATTAGCTCTGATACAAGAAGTTTACAGGTACAGATGACTTCTTTTAAGGCAATAGTCAGTCAGGGCCTCAAGTGATTGCTGGCATGACAGTTTTACTTGTACACTCTCACTTCTGTTTGGTGCTATTTTTGCCATAAGGTAGGGAGGATGGCAAATGGAAACCTCACACTTGCTATAAAGCTAGAATTACTTCTGTGTTCTCAGTGGATCAAACCTGTCTTTCCTTTAATTCAGAACCCTTAGAGGAGACTTTCTAGCCCCACATTAATGACTAAATCCTAAGATACGTGGCTACTTTGCCAGGGTTTGGACCCATCTTGACCAAGTGAGGGCAGGTCAGTGGGATTAAGGACTTGGATTAAGGCGTGATTGTTCCTAATTTGAAGTTGCTATATAAAAGAAGATAGGAGGCGAGCAAACAAAACAATAGCCAACACAGTCCACTATGGCTGGTCACTTGCCTTTTAGGGATTTTGATACTGTGTTTGTGTTAGCTTTCTTTATCTAATTTCTTGCTCCTCTAAAAGCAAATCAGCAAGCACAAGTATCTGTCACAAATGCTGTGAACATGAAGAAGAAAACGGGCACATAAGATTTGTACTTTATCAGAACACAAGGTCTTACAGCCACTCAGTGAACTTCGTACCTTTGCAGCTGAATCTGGAAGCAGTCTGGGAGGAATCCTGAGCTTCCTGGTAATGAGCCCGATGTTTCCCTCTGCTATGCTCTCCTCATCAGAGCAGAGCAAATGAAGCTACCAAAATGATGAGATGAGTTTGATCCACTGGGTTTTGTGTGTTATAACTATTGTTAATGTCATTCCTTCAATTAAATATCAGAGCAACAATAAAGATCTGTCCTTTGCACTCATATTTAATTGTAATTCTTTTATATGCAAATCCCTTGGAGATCAGCTTTCAGAGGGGGAGATCAATTAGAAAGTCCTTACTAAATTCATACAACTTTATGCTAAGCCTGGAACTGCGCAGGTCCCTTTGGGGAAGTAGATAAGAAACGATGCACTTTATTTGTTCACCATGTACCAACATTTCCTTACAAGCGAGCCAGACTTTCTCCACTTTCATCACTAGATTTGAGCTCACCGAAGGCAATTAACTCACACCAAGGGTTTAAATGGAAGGGAATAAGGACAGCTTATTTAAGTCACATGCATTGGGAGGATCATTAGAGTTCTGTGTCCTATGAATCAGGACGATTAAAATTCAGCAGTTTTGTGTATTCTTAATGTGCATTTCGTTTACATCACGCCATCCTCTTTAACATACCATTACCCTGTGCGCTGTGACTGCTCCTCACAATGGCACACACTTGGTAATATGCATGATGATGCAGAGCAAGTTTAAGTGTCTTTACATCATTCTTAATATAATAATGGTTCCTAGGGCTGCATGCAGCTGTGAGTGCATATTAACAGGGGTAGCCCACTGTGAATTATGATTCTATAACACAAAATTTTCAGAAAAAGTACTTACTGTGTATGTAAAATAGCTGCCTTCTAAAGCTTAAAACTTGGGCTGGTTAAAATTGCTCCCAGTAATATTTTTTAAAGAAAATATTCCAGAGGTAATAAGTGAACTGAATGGATTTATGAATGATTGCTGTAAAGTCTTCTTTCTAAGGTAATAACTCACAAAACCGCAAAAGGAATAGCAAATTATCTTTTTAATGCATGTGTAATATGAAATCAATTCAAATGAATTTCAGTAACAAATGTTCTTGATGTTTTTGCCATCATAATGGACCTCAGTATCTGTCTTTTATTCTGGTTGATCGAATGATACTGAGACATAAAGGATCCTATTTCTTGGTTAATATGAACTACATTTCTGCAAATGTAGACAGATATAAGAAGTAAATTTTTAAGTGGCTAATTTTGAGCTGATTTTGGCTAATATACACCCACAACCATTTCTCCTTAGTCTCTCTGAAATTCTTATCACCCCCTGAAATAACCCAAACCTTATCATCATACATGTGGTTCGTTGTGACCCACACTACTGCCTCCAGAATGTTTTTTCTTTACCTCTCACGCTCTTACATAGTGCATACCACATGTTGTTTCTTCACTTTAGGTTGTCTTGTTTTCCCAGACACTTCATTTCAGCAGCAAGATGTGGTTAAAGTCGCTTGACACTACTTTTGTTTTTCTTCCTACCCAAGCCCACCAGTTATGTACCCAGTCATTCCCTTTATAACTCCATTGTTCACTGGCCTCCATTGGTATGCAGATTACGCCATTAGCATGCAACATGTTAGTAAAATAGACCAAAGACTACTGAGCCAATGGGCTGGACATCAGCCTCAAGTGCACTTCATTGTACCTGGCACAAGGGCCAAGTATATTAGCTAAATTCTCATTGCATACTGAACTGAATTGTTAATGATTTTTAATGATTAGCCTTACTAGTCCTATTAGTCGATGAACTCCATGGTGGCAGGGACTCTGGCCTATTTTCATTGTATTCCTGGGTCCAAGAGTAATGCTAAACATAAAAAGGGCAACTAGTGAGCACATGTTGCATAAATGAGTTGAATATTTCACAAAAATAGTTCATAAATAACAATTATTTTGCATGTGAACTGTTAGGATATTTCATTGATTAAAGAGTCACTTTTTTGCACACTTTAATTTCTCTGATATTAGGATGATTTTTTTAAAGATTTTATTTATTTATTTGACAGGTAGAGTTACAAACAGTGAGAGAGGCAGAGAGAATGATCTTCCATCTGTTGGTTCACTCCTCAAATGCTCGCTACAGCTGGAGCTGTGCGGATCTGAAGCCAGGAACCAGGAGCTTCTTCCAGTCTCCCATGTGGGTGTGAAATCAGAAAAGACCCCCTAAAATTTTACACTAAAATGTTGTCCCTTAAAGTTCCCTAGAAATGCTATCTGGGGTGCCACATGTTCTACCAGAATTTGGGGTGCCATACGATTTCACCATGGGCTTATTACTAAATCTCCAGCATTAATAAGCCCAAGAGGGTTCTTGCCTAATATTTAGAGAAGAATTCTAAATACCGGCACAGATAAATGAGGCAGCATGGTACGTTTTAAGCTTTTATTTAGTGAGAAAGATGCATAAGAGAGTGAGAGCTTTATTTAAGGGAGAGAGGTGAATAGGGGTTCATACCAAGCACCAGGAACCAGCCTCGTGGAAGAGCATGGAGACCTGTATCTGGGCCAGGAAGCCTAGAGCACATGGCCTGAAGGCCATGCGCCCTGGAGGCGCGGGGCTGCGGCAAGCCCCCTCCTGACAAGAGGCCAGGGAAGAAGAGCCGCCTGAACCACACTGTGTCCTGGCTTTTAACCCACTTCCAAAGGGGAGTGGTTAATTAACCTGATTGGCTGGTGGGCACCCAGGTGTAGCCAGGTAGGGGAATGAGGCCACACAGGGGCTTGGCAAAGGAGTGGTTTTCCAGTTCACAAATCTAATCAATTTTAACCTGTATGCCTGCCTACTTCAGGTGCAGGGGCCCAAGCATTTGGGCCATCTTCTACTGCTATCCCAGGCCATAGCAGAGAGCTGGACTGGAAGAAGAGCAACCAGGACTAGAACCAGTGCCCATATGAGATGCCGGCGCTGCAGGCGGAGCATTAACCCAGTGTACCAGGGCACCAGCCCCCCTAGGATGAATTTTTTACAGTTTGATTGGCAGCATTCATTCTTTCTGTTTGCTTTCTTGACTCTGAAATAAAGCTGTGTCTTACATTTGATGGTGTTTTAAATTCAAAGAAATATTATAATACTGCTCCCTACTAAAAATAATAAAATTAGTTTTAAAATACCTAAATATATTAGGCAGGGTAAGCTAAGTGTCATAATAAATAACTAGAAGATCTTGACAGTTTATCACAGGTTTAATTGTCACTCATGTTCCAGTCCCATGTGGATCAGAGAAGGGGTGAGAGGAGCTTGCTGCTATGTGGGCCTCTGCTTGTTTCCCCTGGCGGCTGTCTCACTTGAGGAGGGAGGGATGTCCTCGACTGGATTTTCTGAATGAAGTGGAAAGAGAGCACAGCGACTTAGGAACCAGTCCTAGGAGTGAAAGATATCACTTGAATTTGTATTCCACTACCTAAACTCAGTCATGTGGTCCAACCTAACTGCAAGTAAGTCATGATATATAGTGTAGATGTGTGCCCAGGATGAGGGGAAATTGGGTTTTATGAGCATATAAAAATCTCTGCTACATATCTAATGCCACAGCTCCTATCTACAATGAGCATACAATCCAATCTCTATGCTTATTTGGTCAACAAATATGTATTGGATATCTACTGCACGTCATGCCATGATTGGAGGCATTTAAGAATCAATAAAATTTGTATTGTTGAAGATTTTATTATCTAAGAAAGGCAATCACATAGGCACATAAATAACCCTAATATAAAATAGAAAGTGAAAAATATCAAAAAATAAGATTATAATGAACTAGAGGAATTGGAGAGATACTTTGGGCGAGAAATGTGTAGAACTGGACTGAAATAAAGAAGGCTTAGTTCTTTGAAATGAGCAGAAAGAATGACAGCAATAGGGACAGAGCAGGAGGGCATAGGTTTGAGGGAGATTATGCTCTTTGGGGACATGCATATTATCTCAAAGAGCAGGAGAAACTGAACAGAAGTAGTCTAGAGGTGGGGATTTGAGCAATGTGTCGAGGAGCAGAGGGCATTTTCTTAGGTAACACTTATGTAGGAAAGAATACAAAAAGGAAATGAAAGGAAATGCTCAGAGGCATACAAATTTTCTAGCATTTCAGGAGCTGTATGAATGTACTTTTCCCTTTAGCCCCTCAAGCTAAGTAAGATGTGAATAGTCATGCTTCATGGGTGAATCTGCAAAGAACTCACAGTCCTTTCTACCCGGATGCACACACACACACACACACACACACGAGTCATGTGTTATACAAGTCTTTCACTCAGTGACCCACATATATATGAAGATGTTCCTGTAATATTACAACGAAGTTGAAAAATTCCCATAACCTTGCCACTGCAACATTGTAGTGTGACACATGACTCATATTTGTTGTGATGCTGGTGTAAACAACCTACTGTGCAGTCCATGATGCAGCAGATATGGTTATGTACACCACAAAATGCTTGAGAAGGATAGTGCTTATGTTAATGGCCTGAGTTTTCACTATACTATAATTTAATCATTGCAAAGTGGATTCTTTCTAATTATTTTTAAAAGCTTACTGTAAAACAGCCTCAGGCAGGTCTTTCACGAGATAGTCCAGAAGGAAGGAACTGTTATCATAGGAAGTGACAGCTCATAAATGTTTTCAGCCCTGAAGACTTTCCAGTGGGACAAAATGTGGGGGTAGAAGACAGTAATGTTGATGATACTGACCCTGTGTTGGCCTAATGTTTGTTCGTATCTTATTTTTAAGGCAAAGGGAGAATTAAAGGTGTTCCAGGAACCAAGAAAATATCCTTCACAGTCTTGGGTTAAGAAATCACTTGTCAATGAATAAAGAAAATGTGGCAAATACACTAGGGAACACAATTCCACCTTACAAAAGAACATCCTGTCTCTTGTAACAACATGAATGAACCTAGAGCACATTGTGTTCAGTGAAACAAACCAGGTACAGATGGATGAATGCTGAATTCTCACTCTTACGTGGAGTGTGCACAAATGGATCTTGCAGAAGCAGAGAGTAAAATGGTGGTTCCCAGAGGCAAGGGGTTGAGGGAGTGGGGAGATGCTGGTCAAAGGACATCACATTTCAGTCATATACATCTATGAATTTGGGAGATTTATATCCATATCATGATGGGTATAGTGAATATGCACTAAATATGTAAGCATATTTAATATTTACATATGAAATACATAGATATAATGTGCAAATTGCTGAAAAAGTAGATTTTAAATGTTCTCATCACAAGAAAATGACAAATATGTGAGGTAAGGAGTGTGTTAAATAACTTGTGTTAGCCACTGCACAATGTATGCATACATTAAAGCATCATGTTGTAGACTATAAATCCATACAAGTTTTACTTGTTAAATAAGGCTGGTGCTGTGGCTCAATAGGCTAATCCTCTGCCTGCACCCTGGGTTCTAGTCCCAGTCGGGGCACCAGATTCTGTCCCGGTTGCTCCTCTTTCAGGCCAGCTCTCTGCTATGGCCTGGGAGTGCAGTGGAGGATGGCCCAAGTCCTTGGGCCCTGCACCCACATGGGAGACCAGGAGAAGCACCTGGCTCCTGGCTTCGAATCAGTGCGATGCACCAGCCTCAGCGGCCATTGGAGGGTGAACCAAAGGCAAAAGGAAGACCCTTTTCTCTCTCTCTCTCACTGTCCACTCTGCCTGTCAAAATAAATAAATAAATAAAAACCCAAGTTTTACTTGTTAAATAAAATAATTTACCTCTAAGCACAGAACTTGCATGATTTTGCAGCTCTAGTAAGATCACACATCTTCCCAGGGCATTTGATTTTGCATTAGGCTAGTAGTTTTTATTTTAATACATGCTGGCTCTGTTAGTCTTCCTTTAATATAAAGGATATCCTCTCTTTGTCTAACAGTTGTAAAAGCTTATCACTATTTTAGTAACCTTTACAAGTCTGGTTCTATTTAAATCACCTGATTTTTTTTTTAGAAAACTTTTAATTAATATAAATTTTGAAAGTACAACTTTTGGATTACAGCAGTTTTTCCCCCATAACCACCCTCCCACCCACAAACCATCCCATCTCCTACTCCCTCTCCCATCCCATTCTTCATTAAGATTCATTTTTAATTATCTTTATATACAGAAGATCAACTTAGTATATACTAAGTAAGGATTTCAACAGATTGCACCCACACAGACCCACAAAGTACAAAGCACTGTTTGAAGACTAGTTTTACCATTAATTCACATAGTACAACACATTAAGGAAAGAGATCCTACATGCGGAGCAAGTCCACAGTGACTCCCGTTGTTGATTTAACAATTGATACTCTTATTTATGATGCCAGTAATCACCCAAGACTCTTGTCATGAGCTGCCAAGGCTATGGAAGCCCCCTGAGTTCACCGATTCTGATCATATTTAGACAAGGCCATGGTCAAAGTGGAAGTTCTCTCCTCCCTTCAGAGAAAGGTACCTCCTTCTTTGATGGCCCGTTCTTTCCGCTGGGATCTCACAAAGATCTTTCATTTAGGTCGTTTTTTGCCACAGTGCCTTGACTTTCCATGCCTGAGAAACTCTCATGGGCTTTTTAGCCAGCTTTGAATGCCTTAAGGGCTGATTCTGAGGCCAGAGTGCTGTTTAGGGCATTTGCCATTCTATGAGTCTGCTGCAAAGCACCTGATTTGATTTACATCTGTGTTTTAGAAAAAAAAAAAAAAAGCAGTGTTTCCTTACTATAAACATACTTTGAAGTTGATACAACTGAAATTCCCCTACACAGATATCTCTGTGGGGTAACTGACTTCTTTCTTTGGTTGCCAAAAAAGACTAAAAAGATGTCAGTGATCATGAAATAAATCCCAGTTTTCCCTGTCTCTATGTCACCTTGAAATCCTAAATTTCTTGAGTGGCTACAATTAAACAATATGATTTGGATACCATCAAACATTTTGTTATGGAACTGAAACTGAAAAACAAAATCATCAGATGTACACACCTCTACAGTGACTTCCTGACAGGTGCCCTCATGGCTCTGATGCTGATTGGTAGAATTCAGTTCACATTGTTGACAGAGCACACGTTGGGATGGATAAGATAGTAACTATTAGGATGTCAAGAAGTGAGGCAGACTGAGTGTTGACTCTGCTAGAAAGTATGAGACATGCAATTCATTTATTCCTCAAAATAATTCAGTGAGGTAGGCACTATTATCTCCATTTTACAAATGAGACATTAAGACTTAGAGAGATGCTAAATAATTTTCCACAAAGTCAAACGCCAAGCAGATCTATTTGATGAAGCCTACACTGATGCCACTTTGTTGAAAAGATATAATGGGTCCTCCCCTCCTTTCCTTATTCCTCCGTTACTTCTTCCCATCCATCTGCTATTTCCCACATTCTTTGCACAAACATAGGATGAATACCTTACCTGTACCAGATTCTGGGCTACAGGTTTTCATAGGCTCATATAGTGAAACCATTAGATAAAGCCACATGAATGTCAAATGTTATCAAAGTAGTCAGACTTCCCTCCAGATACATGACAAAAATGAAAAACAATAAAAACCAAGCAAATAAAATACCACGTTCCAAACAGTTGCAGTCCAAGTTGAAAACTTTCCATGGTCGGGGATTTAGTTCTTTCAAAGCAGCCAGTTGTTCAAATTTCAGCTTTATTCCTTTTCTTTGAGTATCTGCGGTTACTAGATTTTATCATTGGTGCTCCACTAAAGCCGCCTGAGGAAGAAAGTCAACTTCTCCCCAGAGAGACAGCTTCGGCTCCTGATGGCATGGATAAAATGGCTTGAGAAGGGTCACTTCTGTTTTCTTGATCAGTTTTCAAATCCAGATAGTTTGGCTGCTTGTGTCTCCTTTTTGATGGAGGGGACTGAGATTTCAAAACTGATCTTGTAGCTGACTTCCCAAATCACTTGGGAGAAGAGTTCTCTCGGTCTCCCACCTCTTTTCTTCACTTCTTCCATTTTCTCTTTGCTATCATCAGAAACTGACACAAATTTCCTATCAAACTATTTGCCTCTATTTTAGCCACTGTTTGGCTCTGGGGTTTTTCTCTCTGAAGCTTTGTTTGTTAGCCTGCTCTGAAGGCCTGTATTCTAGCACAACCCCCACTGAAGGTAACTCTCCGTATTCTGATTTATTCAAATCCAATCAGCCAGAGTTAATGAATTCCTGAGGGCAGGAGATCAATCATGTGCTATTTATATTTAATTAATTTCATGTTGCCTCACTTGTCTTTTATAACTACTTTAAAGCATTTGCGAAAAGCTTATTGGTGCTACATTCTTATCTTAGAATAATTTTCCTTATGCTCTTAGGGATTTTACTACACCAAATTCATA